AAATTTCAAGAAAAAAGTATGAATTGGCATAAACGAAAACTTTACGGAATCTGAAAAAATACAAAAATAAAATCTTTTTCGGAAAGTGTACTTATACTTTTTTGAAATACTTTGAGGAACTGGGAAAGGCGTCTACACAGAGAAAAACAATTCTTTGAATTTAACAAATATTGTTAAATTCAAAGAAATCCGAAGTTTGAATAGGTCCAACAAACAAGCTTGGTTGAATCAAAGTTTCCATTCTTTTGATTTTTCAAATAAGTGATTTTTTTGTATCTATATAATTTATTGAAAATGATATGATTCATAATTTGGAAGAAAGTGTATATTTGTTTGAATCAAAACTATTTCTTTGGATTCATGATCAGAATTATTCATAGTGAATAAGTATATTTTGCATCAAAGAAATGAATGCTTGAGGGAAACAAGTAAATTATTTGGAAGAAATAAATAATTATTTGTGAAGAATAATTATATGTAAATGAAATTTGTTTCAAAGAAATCAGAGCTTGACAGAAACAAGAACATTCTTTGGAAGAAACAAATGATTATTTGTGAAAAATAAATATATGTAAATGTAATTTGATTCAAAGATGTCAATGCTTGAGAAAAACAAGGAAATTGTTTGGAAGAAACAAGCTCAAATAATGGATTCCCTTACCAGAAATAAATTGTAGATTTGAACGAAATCAAAAATTAATAAACTCAAAGAAATAGAATCTTCCTAAGAAGAAATTCATTTCTTAGAAAACAATACTCCTCTTGGAAGGAATTGAGAATTAACAACAAAATTGAACTATAATAAACTTTATTGAATAATAGAAAAAATGTGACAAGACACACTGTTTGGGTACGATACTACAGAAGTCAAGATACATGATGATCCTGAAGCAGGTTGATCGCTGTTATTTGTATCCAACCTCAAATATTTGGCAGGTGGATCATCGGCTCTATCATCCGGTGCATCAGCATCAATGAAAATGTTTTCGGAAATCACTGGAGTATTCACATCAATGACAGACGTAGCAGATTTCTTATTGCTCTCCTGAAAGTTTAGTATATTTTAATGCGGGAATAGATGAAATATATGCATAACAAGGAAATAAAAATTCCATAACATTGAAGTGCATGCATTGATGACAATTTTTCATATGAAGAAAAGAGCTGTGATAATTTTTGTTCTAGTGATTATGTTCTCTATATAGTTACATGATATCTCAAAATACTTATACAGGGTATATCTAAATAACACCGAAAAAATTCAAGGGGTGATTCCTGAGTTTTAATATTCTCCCGAAGATGCTAACATAGAATCAAAACATTCAACATACTAATTATCATTTGTTTCATGGAAACAAATATTTTGTTTCAAGTGAAGCTGGTGACATTTGAATTAAAGAAATATTTATTCGACTGCATGGAATCTTCTATTGAGAATCATAGAAGAATTTGAACGCCATTTCACTGGAATATTTCAATATGCAGCAGATTAGAAAGTATACTTATCTACGAAATATCACACATATACCTACCTACCTATTCGTACATCCTTCTATGACCTACCAAATTCCACGGTTTGTCTTTTTGATGAGGATCGGTATGAAAACATCAGATAATCAACAAATCATAAAAAATTTCACGCCATTATTCCGATTTTCAAGTATGAATTACAATTCCTTACCTCTGAAAATTGGGACCAGATGACCCAAATGCCATTCTTCTGAAAAATCCATCACTACACATTAAGAGAATAGTGAAAATCTGTAAATATGCTGTGGAATTAACTATACTAAATCACCACTGTACGATACGACCCGGCGAACCACATCATCATGGCGGGTCTGGTAGTTGAATACGTTTCAGACAGGGTTGCCAGATGGTGCCGGAGAGCTCGTAAACCTTTTCTATTATCTGTATAAGACAAGAAATTTTTATAGTGATGAATCAGAGGATGAAGGTCTAACCCTTGCATGTCATCATCTCCTTAATTTTTCAAGTGTAAAAATGATTTGAAAAATTAACTTGCCGCTGTAAACCTGAAATTATATTATGATGTCAATTAGACATTGTAGAAAAAAGATACGAATTGACAGACGGTTTTGATGAGAAGTAGGTGCCAGGCGAGTCCAAAGGTGAGGAAAATATAATTCGAAGACCAAAATTGAAGTTTGCTGACTGGACGTTTACCCGTTTTTTAAAAATACTTGATGACCGAGCATTTCAGGTTCAAACTTTTGTTTCAAATTGCGTATCAGTCATGTCCAGAATAGGTATTCAGCTCGAGTAAAGATACAACTTCATGTTGGGTTTGCAGGAGATCCAGCCATAAAACATCAATTCTTGAAATCATGTCAAAAAGCCATTGACGACCCAAAGACAGATCTGGCAACAGTGATTTTGGATATTATAGAAACAAGTCACGCCACCGAAATGAACAATAATCAAGACTTTAAGTTTTGGTTTGGTGATTTTTTCAGTCATGGGCATCGTCGATTTTACTTTGGTAGAAGAAAATGAGTCAGTTGTTTTTACTTTTTCTGGATCTGGATTCTCATTTTCCCAATCATGCGAACATTCGACTACACAACAAAAACAAGCGCATATAATCAAAGCAATATTTGATTTGGACCAAAAATTACTATATTTTGTTATAAATTGTGCTGTCATTCAAAAGAACAATTCTATAATGTAATTTCAATAAGCGCATTTATTCGAGATGAATGACACACTCGCTCTGTTCAAATTATATTTTTTAAATACAAATTTTTTGTTTGTGCATGACAACAATATCAATTGTTCATATTTATATCAAAATTATTTTCCGCCAACAATGTGATATTTCTGTTCAAAATAATATTTATTTGATCCAAGTAACATTTATTTCTTCGAAATAAATATATTTTCAACAAATGCTATTGTTTCACCCAAACAAATGTCATTCAAATGAACCGATGATTTCAAACAAAGAATTTGATTTGGTTATAAGAAATAACAATTGTTTCTCGCAAATAACATTTATTTCTTGCAAACAAATATAAGTCAAACAAATGAGATTGTTTCACGCAAAGAAACGTTTTTCTCTGTGTACTCTTTCGTCACAATATTCAATGTGGCATAGTGCCACATTATAAAATGAATACCAATAAGCTACATTACTCGCTCGATTACTCGGATTCTTTGAATAAGTGCAGTTGTAGAAAAAGTATAGTATGCAACATGTGGGGAAAAGCACTTTTCTCACCCATGTGTTTCCATCACTCGCCCTTCAGGCTCGTGACACAAACTTTCACACTCGTGAGAAAAGTCGAACTTTTCCCACTTGTTGCACAATATACTATTTCAAGTTTTATTCGAATTCAAAACTATGAAGACATTGGATTTCAGCTAACATTTCTCATATAATATTTCTAACATTTCATTAATAAAAATGAGTTATACATAACTGTCAAATCATATTTGACATATTCACAAAATAGATCGTAGGCTTCATATTTCCATCACATCAACAGCAACTCCAATTTATGAATTTTACTTACCGAATCTCCCACACAAAAAAAGGAATTGTTGAATCAAGCAAAATTTAATTGAATGGAGCAAATAAAAGTGTCATATATGGACGACAAAATATAATCTTGAAATGAGTAAATCTATATCTTGTTTCAGAGCGAATTGAAAGTTTGAATCAAGTTAATATTATGTCTTGCATGAACTCGGGATCTTCTTCAATCAAGCACATCCATGAATTATTCATGAAGATATATTGAATTGACTCAAACAAACATTTTGTTCGATTCAAAATAACAAGATATCGATTCAATCAAATATTTAGTTGATTCAACGAAATATTTGGTTGATTCAAAGAAATATTTGGTTGATTCATTGAAATATTTGGTTGATTCAATGAAATATTTGGTTAATTCAATGAAATATTTTGTTGATTCAAGAGAAACTATATATCCATTCAACAAATTGTTTTGTTGAACCAAATTCAATATTCGGGAATTTTCTGAAATTTCACATCAATAGAATAAACAAAACTAGGAAATTAGTCGACTCCTAGCATAGATCTTTAGTCTTTACTTCTCTCAAGCTGATGGAAAACTATTTCGGATTGCTAATCATCCTAAGTTCGACTTATCCAGCTGATATTTCAAACACGAAGAATAAGGCTTCACGTATATAATGGACTCGAGGCATGCATAGACGAGGCGAAATGATCGCCATCTAGAGGCGAAAATTTAAGTTGATGTTGAAAATATTTCATTGATATTACATATTTCGTTGCTCTATTCAAGCAAATGATCTGTTTGAAACGAGTTCATTGATACCTCGGAATAAGACAACTTGTATGTTGTTTCAAAGATATATCCTCATCAAAATGATCATTGTTTGATCAAATCAACGAAATGTTGAATCAACATCGACATTATGGATCGACATAATTTGTTTTTGAAGAAACCATATATTTTGTTGATGGAATTGATATTATACTGTTGATTCAATTAGACTACATTCTTGATTTGAAACAAGCTGCTTTCATGGAATAATCATGTATCTGGTTGATTCAACAAAAAATTGCTCAGTCCAACAAAAATAAGTCAAGCAAAAATAATTTGTTGATGCAACAAATCCTTTTTTTCCGTGCAGGCAGCAGAGCTTAATTGCCGATAATTTTTTCTCGATATAACCCTTTCATGTTATAGTTGATACATAATTTCCCTCGTCTTGAAAGCATTCGTGACCTTAACAAAAATGATTGGTAACAATTCAGCTGCTGCAGGGAGATTATAAGTGAATATTTAGAACATCGTGACATTACTTATGAAAATGTACGTTGAATATGCGCCAAAAAAGCTCAATTGCCGGCGTTTTCTTCTATTCCAAAAATGGAAAAATGGGCGGGACGGCGTTAGAGCACGTCCAATCGCAATTCGAATCGGGCAAGTTCCCGCCCCCGCGCCGCCGGTGGCGTCAGTTACTTTGTTCAGTTCCGAGTAGCATCGAGCGCGAGAAGGTAGTCCGAAGAGTGTTCCGTGCGTCCCTGTGTGTGTGAATCCCACCCGCGGCATGAAGCGTCGCGACGCGGGCCTCTTTGCCTTCGTCGCTTTGTGGACGCTTTTTCTGCAGTGCACGGACGCTGACTGGTGGTAAGTTTGATGGGAAATGGGATCAAAAATATATAGTCGAGAACAGATAATGCAACAACAACAAATTTGTTGCAATTCATAACAAACTTCAAGCATATTTGATTTCTTATCCCCTAACAACACAGGAATGTCCTATAGGTAAGTCCCTTTTTTGTCCCGCGGTACAAGGACATGATTGGGGCATCCAGGGGATATCCCGCAGTGGTTGTCCAGTGGACATCCCGCCCGATACATCCCTATTGGAATATCTGATATCCATTCACATCAGATTCATTGAAATTCATCAAACTATTATTGAGTTAAATTTTTTTGATGTTTGTTTTTCTTTCGGAAAATAATCGTAATGAAAATAAAGAAGAAAGTCTCAGAACTTCTCTTCAAATGACCATTTTTTGCATACAGAAATAATAAATGCATAATGCCCCTCATTTTTAAACACCCAAGAATGATTATAATTATACCCAAATCATATAACAAAGTTGTATTTATTCAGGTTTTTGTAGTTTAGTCCTGTTTATTAATCTGTTTAGTACATAAATCTTCAGAAGGAATATTAGCCAATGGAGTAAGGTGCGTACCTGATGAGCTAAAGACTCGGCTAAAGAACCCGGGTTCAATCTCTACTCGACCTACATTTTTTTTCTTTTGTCGAAGGGATGTCCCTGGAATATTCTTGAGACGTCCTAGGGATATCCTTTCTTCGTACTGGGTGGAAAATCCCTAGTATGTACGTTGTCTCGACAAAGGACATTCCTGGGATGTCCTAGTATAAAATCAGGGACGTCCGTGGGAAGTCCCTAGGATGTACTGGTGTTGTTAGGGTCAAAAGTAATTATTATTCAACATTCGCAGAAAAATATTTTTAAAATGAAAAAATATTCAAATGTGTTTCTACTATTTCGTATAATATTCAATCTGGTAATATCAGATTTTCGAGACAACGTTTCGTCCATCCAGGAACACGCATAACTTGTCAGAAATAGCAATAGTGGGACAACGAAGTGTGGGCCGAGGTGTGGGCCACCCTGTATACCAAACTTGATGGGGTTCATAGTGGTTGAAGCAGAAGTGAGGCTGCTGTTACCAGTTATTTGAGTAAACTCCTGTATATGTTCCTGTAATTTATTTATCAAGATCAACCTCGAGATCAACCATCATGTTTTGTATACACGGGAAGAAGCTCGGGAAGAAGGAATAATTGTTGTTCAATGGAATGAAGCAAATATAAATGTCATTTATGCACGACAAAATATAATCTGGAAATGAGTAAATCTTTATCATGTTCTTGAGAGAATTTGAAGTATGCATCAAGTAAATATATCTTTTATATGAACTCAGGATCTCATTCAATCGAGCACATCCATGAATTGTTCATCAAGAGATATTAAATTGCGAGATTAGCTCAAACAATCATTTTGATGGATACAAAATAACAAGGTATTGTTTCAATCAAATATTCAATTGATTGAATGAAATATTTGGCTGATTCAAAGAAATATTTGGTTGATTCCGAGGTTGATTCAATGAATTATTTGGTTGATTCAATGAAATATTTGGTTGATTCAATGAACTATTTTGTTGATCCAATGATATATTTCGTTGGTTCAAGAGAAAGCGTATTTCCAATCGACAAATTGTTTTGTTGGACCAAATTCAGTATTGATTCGGAAATTTTGTGAAATTTCACATCAATAGAATAAAATAAACTAGAAAACTAGTCGACTTCTATAGCATATCTCCAGTTTTTACTTCTCTTCACCTGATGCAAAACTATTTCGGCTTGCTATGTATCCTGAGTTGCATTTATCCAGCTGATATTTCAAACACGAAGAATCAGGCTACACTTATATAATGAATTCGGGGCAGGCATAGACGAGGCGAAGTGATCGCCATCTAGAGGTAAAAATATAACTTGATGTAGAATGAGCAAAATATTTCATTGATATTATACATATTTCGATGCTCTATTCAATCAACTGATCCGTTCGAAACTGTTCGAAACGAATTCATTGCTACATCGGAATAAGAAAACTTGTATGTTTTTTCAAAGATATATTCTCATCAAAATGATCATTATTTCATCAAATCAACAAAATGTTCATAGTTGAATCAACACCGACATTATTTTGGATCGACGCATAATTTGTTTTTGAGATAACCATATATTTTGTTGATGGAATTGATATTATACTGTTGATTCAATAAAACTAATTCTCGATTTGAACAAGCTGCTGCAACGAATCCTGTTTTCCGTGTAGGTCTCGGTATAGGTACTACTATATCCGAATGAGATGAGTAGATCTACACCGAAATGTACACAATTTAACAAACTGAATAATCGCTGAATAATAATCAATATTATTATATACCTCACATACCTACCTACTAGATAGAACAAAAATGAATCTATTGAATATATAGAAATGCATCTTCATGAATTCCCGAAATATACAATTTGAAATGTACGCTATAGCTCTGCTCGGCCACAGTGCTCGGCTCTGCTTCATGATTTTCCTCGTGATTTTCAATACAGGTAAAGAATATTACCACGGGACCTTATAGAAGCATTGGGATATAATCTTGGTCTCTGGGTAATACTGATATTCTTTACTACCTTTGTGGTATAAATAACTATCGAAGATGTGAGAGAGCTAAGTGCTAGGCTAAGTATTTTGTTTTAGCCTCGGTCTGAGAGTGCGACCCCGCGTTTTTATTCACTGCCTATATATACCTATATGATTTTCTATAGAATTTTTAACGACGATAAACCTTGTGCCCAAGAAAGAAATTTCAATAGTGAATATAGAATAGGTTTATTTTTTAGATGAAAATGTCTAATCAACGATAATATGTAGGCACCTCGGTAGGCACTGAAGATCTCGCTGAAGATGAACTGATGGCATTCGGTTCTCAGTAATTGATTTTTCAAATTATATTCTCTATCCATACTTGAATGATTCAATAGCAAAGTACCATAATTGCTTCTGGTTTATACTCCGAGGTTTACTCTGTAGGAGTCAATAATGGAATATGAAGGAACTCATTCTTCAGACCGTAATGCTATCAAATCAACGTATATGACGATCATTGGGTGTGTCTTTTATTAGGGTATACTTTCTCTAAGAGCTCCAACAGATTTATTTCAGTACTAAGACACCTCCAAAGTGCCCATAATTTCATTAGTACCCGTACCCAAACACGAACATATTGTACCATAAAAGGTAAACATAACAGAACAATGGTGCATGGAGGTTACGAAGGATCGAACCACACTAAACCGAGAACCCGTTTTGAAGATGCGTTTTTCTAAAACAATGAAATAAAACCAAATTGACCAAACAGTCGAGTAGGGACAAATATCTGACAAGACATTCCACTTAGTTGCCAGACCCAGTCTTGATATATCGAATATTTGATAGGGCCAAAAAGATCATTAAAGGGTGGCCAAAGAAACTCACTTGAATTGAAGTTAATGATCATTTCTCTCAGTAGTTTAATGGCCACGAATAGATGCTCAATTAAATTAGGGTCTAGAGGACTATTCAAATCTACAATATCACATCGAATTTATTCTTGTTATTCAAACATATATTTGCTTCCAGCTAGAATATTCTGTATGTATACCTATCGAAATCGCATAATCCTACAACGCATTTGAAACTTTCCTACATTCTCATCTTGTGTTCTTCGAAATAAAATGGTAAAAACTCCACTAACGATAAGATTTCTACAAAATATTGTGGGCTCAAGATGTATAGTAAATCTTTGCAGCTGAGCGATGCGATGCGTTGACTCGTAATTTGCAATAAACTAAGAATTACATTTTGATTCCATCTGAACCCTCTCCATGACTTGAAAACCTCGCGATTCTTTCATGAATTCACTACACTAGTGTTTTATATGTATGATCATGATTTTAGTGATAAAATTTTACTGATAATTTTAGACGAGATTTTAGATATTGGTGGGAGTCCTCTTCCGTCGCCTTCCCGGCCCTTTCTCCTCAGCAGAGAGGTGCATTGTACTACGATCGCAGTCAAAAGTACCACGAATTTCAAACTGCTTAATTATAGTGAATTCCTCTGTCGGATTTTTCTGCATGAGGTCTTGTTAGTAATCCTTGATATCATCTCACCATAATCATAATCTAATTAAACACTTGTGAAGTGAATTCATGGAAGAACTGTGGAGTTTTGAAGTCATGGAAACGGTTCAGGTGGAATCTTACCAAAATATTGTTTTTTCTACTACTGGCATCAAATTGGAACTGAAAAGATTTCCCACAATTTCACACACGGATTTACTCGTAGGGTCAATATTTTGATCCATATTTCAGCACAAAGGTTAATTCAAAACTTAAAATATTATTTTTTGAAAAAACTTGCCCATTATTTGAAGTGCTGTATCTCGAGAACTACTATAGACCTACAGTGCTACAGTCATACTTGAATTATGGCAAATTCAACCTCCATTAAGCTAGCAGAACCACTTTGAATTTTTAATTCTCTCTTCGGCCATAATTTTAGGCTAATTTAAGGCTAATTTATTACCCTATTACCGAATTTATTGCTCTTCGATTTATGTAAAAAAACGTGGGTTCTGCTATAGCTTAACGTTAAGCTAGCAGAACTACTTCGTAAATAAAAGTTCAATCACAAAACTAATTATGCCATAATTTAAGGCTAATTTTAGGCTCCAATCCTAGCCTATTGCCAATTTTTTCGCACATTGTTTTTTTAAAAAAATCATGGGTTTTGCTAGCTTCACCGTTAAGCTAGCAGAACCAAATCTCAAATAGAAGGAATATAAAAATATTGAGTACACCATAATTTAAGGCTAATTTTAGGCTCTTCGTTGAACCTATTATCGATTTTTTTGAAAATCATTTTCTGCAAAAAAATTTCCAAATCCAACATGAACATGATAAACCAGTAGCAAACCAAAAAAAACTTCAATCACAAACCTGATATGCCATAATTTCAGACTAATTTGAGGCTCTG